GAGGGGGTGAGTGAAGGGGCTGGAGATGAAGGGACTTGGAAGCATTTACTTGTCTTTGAGCCCTGTGCCAGTCCCTGGCTCATCCTCCCGCTTTTCTCATTTGCTGGAATCTGGCCAATGGGAGCACAGGGAAAGCCTCCAGACAGCACGCTGATGTGCTGCTGTTTCCCCAGCCCGGGAGGGGGATGCACTTCTTACCCATGCAGCGAGGATTAGGGCTTTCTCTCCACCTCTCCCCTCTTCCCAGAAGTCAGGGCTAGTGCTCCACCCACACAGGGGAGGAGTGAGGGTGAGGCTGTGGCACCAGGCAAAGGGGGCCTGGACCGCTTCCGTCAGTGCTGCCGGGCACCTCCTTGCCTGCCTGTTTCCCCAGCCCGGGAGGGGGATGCACTTCTTACCCATGCAGCGAGGATTAGGGCTTTCTCTCCACCTCTCCCCTCTTCCCAGAAGTCAGGGCTAGTGCTCCACCCACACAGGGGAGGAGTGAGGGTGAGGCTGTGGCACCAGGCAAAGGGGGCCTGGACCGCTTCCGTCAGTGCTGCCGGGCACCTCCTTGCCTGCCTTACACCTGCTGCTTCTCCTGAGCTTGCTGGCCCAGCAGCCCGTGAGCGCCAAGAACAACAGTGGCACAAGCAAGCAGCCCTGGAGCAAGTTGTGGTGCCCCGGGACATGGGACCCTGCCTCCGTTCCCATTGCAAGTGGGTCCCACCCCAGACCTTGCACCAGCCAAAGCAGCTCTGGGGCCAGGGCATAGGCCGCTCAAAAGGCTGTGGCCAGAGCTGAGCAGGCAGGACCCTTGGGAGGCAGAATCTGCCAGGCTGGGCTGTCAGGCAGCTTTGCTGGTCCCTGAACAGTGTCCAGGTCAGGGAGCATGTGCGAGGGCAGAGCCTGTGGACACAGATGATGTATGATGTCATTCTGTTGTCCCGCGGGGAAAAGTGTGTGTGTGTGTGTGTGTGTGTGTGTGTGTGTGTGTGTGTGTGTGGAGAGGGAGACTGTTTTTATACATTTATTTTGAAATCATATATATTCATTTGTTTTGCCATAACAGATAATTTGTCTCATTCATGATTCTGTTTGACAGCAGTGTGTAGTACCCCAAATAATGTGCCTAATTTTGCAGTATTGTAGAACAAAAGGAAATTTTTTTCTTAGGCATTGTTTATACCTGTTTAGTATAATTGATTTAAATAATACAGCTCATGCTTTGTCTGGATCAGGCAAACTGAATGAAATGAATATGTCTACCCTTACATTTTAAACTGATTTTACACTTTTTAATTTAATTTCTACAGGTGATGACATGTGTTTGGTGCAATAAAAAGGGACTTTTGGCAACCAGTGGGAATGATGGAACTATAAGAGTGTGGAATGTAACAAAGAAGCAATATTCACTGCAGCAAACATGTGTTTTCAACAAACTGTAAGTTTTTTGTTGATTTTTAATGGTAGCCAGCTATTAATTGCTTCATATAGGCAGACCTATGAGGAGTCCCATTGGCACAGGAAACTGCCTGAATGTAGGGGATAGTCTTCTTGTTCTCCTTTGGGATGTTTACTATACTTAAAACTAGAAGATTTACCCAGCATTGCTCTGGTCCCTCAGGGCATGGGGGTGTAGGAGTCAGGGTTGAGGTTGATGAGGGGCTCAGGGCAGGGGGATGGAGGTGTGTGTTGGTGCAAGAGTCAGGGTTTGAGGATGTGGTGGACTCAGGGCAAGGGACTGGGGATGTGGAGTGGTGCAGGATTCAGGATTATGTTGGGAGGAGGGGCTCAGGGCCGGGGATAAAGGAGCTACAGGAGCCAGCAGGAACCATGCTTCCTGGCTGGCAGCTCACCAGGGCTGACCACAGTGCGGGGCCGGCAGCATATGGGAAGTTTACCTCCACACCTGGTCCCTGCTGCCCCCCTGTGCTCATTAGACAGCATAATTGTCCCTGCTAGCAGCCCCTTCCCTTTCCATGTTATGAAAAACATTTGCATTCCAGGCACATCCCATTGTCCTGACACAACCATACACTTATCTTGCTTTAAATTATGAGAAGAGGAAGATGCATACCAAATTTGGTGGTCCTAATGCTTACCATTTAGGAGGAGATCTTGAACAAATGGATAGACAAATAAACTCTCTCAAATATATAATAGATAACAAAAATGGTCAAAATTAAATTATTTAAAACTGGAAAAAAACTTAAAACTGAAAGTGATCTTAGTAATCCAGGTAAGGGGATTTAAAAAAAAAAAGTTAACCCAGGGATATTTCCTATGTATTATTTCATAATAAATTTACCATAGAACAAACTTAAATGATAGCACACAAAATATAAGCTTAAGGAAGGACTGTCATATTAAGAGTACATGCCAAATATATTGACTTAAACGTACTTTTCTATTGATTTAATTTTGTTTTCCTAATTGCTGTGTAACTTTGTGCAAGTCCCTGAACTTCTTCAATACTTACTTTTTTTCTTATCTGAAGTTGGGCTACATCAAATTATATTTGCCTGCTTCATAAGGATTTAGAAAGCTTAATGAAGGAACAGATTCACATTCAGTCTGTGAGAGTCTTTCTTTCCTTTAATTTCATAGAGCATTAGGTATGACCCAAAAATGTTTATAATATACTAAGTATTAAGGTAATTTTGGGGGTTAATTGTAAGAATAGAATTCAGGACTTGTGGGCGTGCATTCCACTGCTTATTTCTCCTTATAGCATGGCATTTTAGGTACGTGTATGTGCAGTTTGCAAATTTCTTGAAGCATGAGTTTTGTTATCGGCTTTAGCAGACTTACATTATAGCTCTCTCCTGGGGAGTCTCTCTCTCTGACACTCACTCACTCTATTTTTGTACAATTTGTAAATTTCATCTTTTTCTACGACTTCATAAGCTCTGTGAAAGATGGATTGCAGAATTAAGATTTTTGCAGAGCTCATAAAACACATGTAAACTTTTTCAAAACCTAATAAATTCACTGAGTAATTCTCCAAAACTGGTAAATAAAACCAGTCCTAGACAAAATAGATTAAAACAGACTGGATGTTTCCTGGCCAGGCTTTTTTGGCATTTTGATTAACCAAAAAATTCAAGTGGCTACAATCACCAATTCTAACCAAGGAGTGCTTAATAGAAGTTAGTGGGGAAGATCAATGATGCCATCATTTCACTGTCTTATCTTGGTGTCATTGTGCAACTGAGCTATTCCTACAGCATAAATTAGAACAGCCTGTGGAGTACTGCAACCTGCACTTGCCACCAGTGGCTCCAGTAGGATGATATGATAGCTCAGGTGTGGGGATACCCTGCACTAGTCACGAAGAAGAGGCCACTCAAGCTGCAAGAGCAGCTCTGCACACTCAAGAATCCTGTTACATTAAGGTGATCATAGAATCATAGGACTGGAAGGGACCTTGGGAGTTCATCTAGTCCTGTCCCCTGCACTTCATGGCAGGGCTTGATATTATCCAGACCATCCGACAGGTCTAACCTATTCTTAAACCTCTCCAATGATTCCACATTCTTCCACAGGCCATTTATTCCACTGCTTATCTACCCTGACAGGAAGTTTTTCCTAATGTCCAACCCAAACCACCATTACTGCAATTTAAGCCCATTGCTTCTTGCCCTATCCTCAGAGGTTAGGGAGAAAATTGTAAGAACCTTTTATGTACTTGAAAATTGTTACCAATCTTCTCTTTTCCAGATGAAAATCCTTTTTTTTTTTTTTTTTTTTTTTTTAATGTCTTAGAAGTGGGTAATTTACTCATCGTGAAATCCTACTTTGGTTGGCTTTAAAATATCTTTACTTTAGTTGAGCCATGAGAAACTTCCCCAGTGTGCAGGAGAATTGGCGGCAGAAATCAACGAGAAACTTCTCGTCTAACTTTTGTCCTTAGACTTCCTAACTTCCTTGCTTGATTTTCTGTGAGACTTCCCAGAAAACTCCACTCTGGCATAAGATAATGATGTTCCAGGCAGGTTGATTTAGTTTGGCAATGTCACAGGTAGTCAGAATTGGGTCTGTTATAGAAAACGAGCTGCAATTGAGGAGAAAATTATTTGGTTGTGTATCTAATAACAGCAAGGGAATTACAGAAAATGACTCAGGTTTTTAATGGATTAAACTTTTTCTCACTTTCTCCAGTTAGAAATGCTTTCAAATGCAGCTGTATGGCTGGGGTCACCCAGTGATCCTAGCTTGTCTCTTGTCTGTTGGAGCATCAGTGGCAAGTATCTGGCTGGAGCTTTGGAAAAAATGGTGAACATATGGCAGGTCAATGGTATGATGAACATAATGCTCTTTTAATAGTATAGCTTGTGTCTATTTAAAAACTCCTGAGAAATGGCACTTTTGTATAAGTCAGTGTTTTAGCAGATTTACTTGCCAATTAGTATACGTAGCATTCCTCCTTCAGTAAATGCTCTGAACCCAGCTTATTTGCTAAAACCTTAATACTTTTTTCAGCATTTGTTACAACATAAGCAGTTGGAACTCAATAGTTAATATGAATCCTTCTAGTTTATCATTGAACCAGAAAAGTTACTAAAATGTGTATTGGGCTTTAAACTTGCCTACTGGAATAGCAGTTATTGCCTATAAATGCTATTCTTTTTATAGTCTTTAAAATATATTTGACATTTAAACAAGCTATCACCAAAAGTTTACATAAGTAGTTACTTTAAAAAGGAGTTTAAAAAGGTTTCCACATTTTCCTTGCACAGGTGCACTAGAATGCTCAAAATGGTACCTTTGAGGCCAGCTCTGAAAGGAAGATCATTAATCCTTTAGGCGGCTGTACAATCCCTATCTAACTCCTCATATTTGCAAAAATCACTGGTTACAGTCTTGGATAGTTCCATAAAGAACTGCTCCTATGTTCCTGACACATTCTTGGTTTAGTGTATTTGTTTCATTTATATGGTTTCTCCTGAGGGGTGCCAGTTACAGCATTATCTGAATGCTGCAGTCTGACTCTTTTTTCCAGAGTCATTTATTTGAAGATGAGTTGTATATTAGTTACTTTTGAGACATTATATTGATTTATGTTTTGTAGCAAGTTACTAACCAGTTGCTTTGTAATCATATGTTTGTTAAAAGATTTTAAGGATCATCAGTAGTATATGTCCCAGTTGTATACATAGTCTTTTAGCACTGTCCTCTGAGAGGTACTCTTTGGTCTTTTAATGTGTAGTAAAATGAAGTATTATAACAGATTTTTGGTGTTTTCAGGAGGAAAAGGATTATTAGACCTTCAGCCCCACTGGGTTTCTGCTCTAGCTTGGCCAGAAGAAGGGCCAGCTGCAACATGGACAGGCGACACACCAGAACTGTTATTAGTAGGTCGTATGGATGGATCTCTTGGGCTTATTGAAGTTGTAGATGTTTCAACCATGCATCGAATAGAACTGGAGCATTGCTACAGAAAGGATGGTAAGTGACCATGCTGATATTTCTAAAGAAATGTTATAAGCTACAAATTTAGAATTTTGTGACCTATATTAAAATGCAGCGTATACTTCAGTTTTTTGAAGAACTATTCACATAATTCCAGTACTAGTGTTCACATGCCTCATAAACACAAGATAGGATTATTTTTGGCCAACAGTGTCTGTTAGAGCTGTGTCTACACCTGGATACTCTTTGCCCCATCCCTAGCTCTCCAACCCCAAAAGCGTAAAAGGTGGAGCAGCCTCTATTGTCCCTTTGTTCCTTATTATTCATGGCAGCAAAATGATGCCCCGGTACCACAATGAAAGATTGTTTAAATGGGCATCAAATTGTATTAAATACAGCATCCAGCTTGATTAGAGCTCTTCTAATGAGAGTGCAGATTGGTGTACATTATACTATCTTGTGTATGTTGGACGGGACTTCATAATGCACTACCTTCGCATGAAAGAAAAGGCTTCTTCCTGACCTCAGCTGGTATGGCCAGACTCATCCTTAGCACCTTGGCCTCAGTGCATAGCCACCTCCTCCTCCACCCCACACCCCAGCACTGAGCTCTGCCTGGCACCACTCTTCATCACTAGTGCCCAAAAAGACAACCATGAAAAACAGCTCCCCAGCACTGGGCAAGAAACACCATGGGAAATCAGGCAAAGGATCCAGTGTGGGCCACATGTCCACACTGGAACCACATAGACCTCCCCAGTAGGGCCACTTAGCCCCCTCAAAGGATTTACTACCAACTTCTGGGAGCAGTAGGGGACCCAGACTTACATTAGGATTGACTCCTTCAAGACTTTCCCAATGCCTAGAGAGCAGAAGTCAGTGCCATCACGTCTGGTACCAAATGTGCACAGGAAGTGGCATGGCCCCCTATGAGGACAAGCCAGCTGTCAATGCTCCCTGAGGGCAGATGAGTGCCACCAATCTGTTGAGCTGAGCTCACCCTAGATCGCTAGCTCTGCATTCGCAGTCACCATGCTCTCAATGCAGTTGCCTCGGGGAAGGCTCTGGACTCTGTATTTCTGGCACTATTCACCCTCCTGTGGCTTTCTTCTCAGTATGAGTTCTGCCACCTACTTCATGGGAATGATCTCTGTCAGTACCAAGCTCTGACATCCTATTCAAACTGCTAGTCTCCAGCAGCCAGCAAGTGTTAATGGCTCCACAATAGCAACTGAAGGGGACTCCTCCAGCATGGAAAGACAGCTTAGCCCCTTGCCGAGGCTTCATCGGTACAATTGGGCATTGGAGGCATCAACTTCTACAGTTTGGTCGTGCAAGCAGAGCTAGTGGAGTGCATGGGGCATGCCTGTGATGCTGATGCTCTCTTCACACCACTTGTTGGCCATTGCCTTGGAGCAACATTGATGGCACCAGTGGCACAAGGCTTGGTTTGGAAACTGCATCAGTGTCACCTGCGAACTTGCTGAGGGTGCAATCCAGGCCCCTGTCCAGGTCATTAATGAAGTTGTTGATCTGCACATCATGACAAGCACTCAAAGAAAAAAAGTTACCTACCTTTTTCACTCTTGTTCCTCAAGAGGTGTTTGTCATGTCCATTGTATTACCCACCCTCATGCTTCTCTGTCAGAGTTGCTAGCAAGGAGGAGAGGGCATGGGGCCAGTTGCACCTGATATACAAGTGCACGAGCATGGCACTCAAGGGAACAACACAGCTGACCCTACAGATACTGCTAAGGCAGAAATCTCAGACTGTGCACAGGAGCATGTGCACACCTAGAATGGAATGGGCGTGAGCAACACATCTCAAAAAATCACAGTTACGAAAAAGTAGGTAGCCATTTTTTCTAATAAGCTAAATGCAATGTGAATTGAACAGTTTATAATGTAATTTAATATATTTTACATGTGCTTATTGTTCCAATAGTGTCTGTTACATGCCTTGCCTGGTTCAGTGAAGACAGACCATTTGCAGTTGGCTATTCAGATGGAAAATTGCTGATGGGTACAAAGGAGCCAATTGAAAAAGGAGGAATTGTTCTAATTGATGCACATAAGGTAGAGTGTTAATTTTCTTGCAGGCTAATTCATGCCCTCCAAGTTTCTCATAGAGAATTCAAAATTTAAACTATAGTCCTCATTTCAAAATTGTTTATAAAAATTACTTAAGATAATAGCCCACTTCTTAAAGACGCTTTTCAAAATTGTATATAAAAATTACTTAAAAGATAATAGCCCACTTCTTAAAGACGCCTCCTTTGTCCAGATGCTCAACATCCAGTCTGATATACATTTTAAACTGAAGTAAATTTAGAGGCCAAAAGAAGTCCAGCTGATTTTCTATAAAAAAGCAACAAGTATGGTTCCTCAAATATATTTTGTTTATACTGTGCGTTTCTGACCAAAAAAAAATAGCTCTCAATGAACAACTGGACAAATTAAAAGTAACTTTACATATAAATCTGTTAAATTTTCTTTCTTAAATTTTCTTTCTTAAACTGTATTGTATAATTTATATGATTTTTTTTCTGAACTAAAAAAGTAATTGTAAAGTGTAAAATGTTTCTCAAAATACTTGGGTGGTGCACTGTAAGTCCTTGTTCTGGCCAACAGGTATCAGTCCATTGGCCAACGAAGCCCATAAATCATTGCAAAGAGACTTTCCCCTGGGGAAGAGCTAATTTAAATGTACCCTGGGCTGTTCCACTGTTCCCATTGTATGGACCATGTGAGGCACAGGAGAGGACAGATTAGAAGCAAGAAGGGAAGTATCTTTAGTGTAACCCATAACCAGCCTAGGAATGGCTGCCATAAATTACAGAATTTTCCAGGCTGCTCTAACTTATGCCAAGATCCATTTTAGCCCTGATAGCATGCTGGAATCCAAGAATGAAAAGGTGGCACATAAAATCACCTTTGCTATGTCATCTAGGCTGCACCTTTTGTGCTGGATTTTTCAGGAGAAATAGCACAATATATATGACCCATTATCTACACGTTCAGGTATATTTTGTTTGTCATTTGAGTGATTTCATATTTAGGGCCCTGCTAAATTCATGACCATGAAAAACATGTCACAGACTATGAAATCTGGTCTTGTCCTGTGAAATCTTGTTGGTTGTGTGCTTTTAGCCTATACTGAACAGCAAGGGTGGGGAACCTAAGGCTGGGGACCAGATGAGGGGGCCAAAAGCAGCCCTGGCTTGCCTGGATCTGGCCCCCGAGGCTTAGGGCTCCTCCCCCCCCCCCATGGGGCTGGAACACACAAAATCTACTAGCTTGGGGCCCCCTAGGCTCTGGTGTGCGAAGGAAATGTGGGGAGTGCCTTTCTCCTTCTCAGTTGGTGGCCATGTCAGTTAGAATTGGCTTGGTTTTTTTTGCTTTTCACTTGTGTACAGCCCTCAACTGATTTTTCTGAGTTCCCCGCCCCTGCTATCCAGATTGCATGAGGGAGAATAGCATTTCTCAAACTGGGGGTCCTGACCCAAAAAGGAATTGCAAGGGGCCTCAGAGTTATTTTAGAAGGTTGTGCCACCCTCATTTCTGTGTTCCTTCAGAGTTGTGTGGTCAGAGAGCAGTGGCTGTTGGCCAGATGCCAAGCTATAAAAGGCAGCGCCAGCAGCAGTGCAGAAGTAAGGTTGACAAAACCATACTATGCTACCCTTTCTTTTGCCATGCTTCTTTCAGACCTCAGCAACCAGGAAGTTGAGGCTGCTGGCTGAAGGCCCAGCTCTGCATGCAGCACTGAAAAATTAAGGATGGCAATACCATACCATACCATGCCATCCTTCTGTGCTGCTGCTGCTAATGGCTATGCCTTCGGAGCTAGGCTCCTGGCCAGCTGCTGCTGCTCTCCAGCTGCACCACCACTACCAGCAGCACATAAGTGTAACAGTACCACAACCCCCCACTCCCTACAATAACTTTGCAACTGAGCCATAAACTCCTTTTTGGATCAAGACCCCTACAATTACAGTACTGTGAAATTTCAGATTTAAATAGTTGAAATCATTACATTTATTATTTTTAAAATCTCATGACTGTGAAATTGACCAAAATGGGCTATGAATTTGGTAGGGCCCTTTTCATATTACAACTTCATCATTAAAAAGTTGTGCAAGCCTCTTAGGAGACTTTGAAAAACCTTCTGTAAAAACATAATTTTGCCTATCATGCACTTTCTATGAGTCTTTGTAATGTTTCATGAAAACAAGATTTTTTGTTTTCTTGCCCTCATAGAACTGTGATAATCACCAGGTATGACTTCGTTTGAGTTATAATTACAGCATCAAATCATCAACATAGTTCCTCTTTTGTAGTTTATACGACACTGTATATACGAAGTTCAAGTGCTAAATACTTTAGTACTGAAAGTTTTGTTGTATGTATATGATCATATTTATAAGTCACATTATGAAGACACTGAATGTTGTAATCTTTTTGTCTGTTTGTTTGAATTCTTTAGGATACTATTGTTAGTGTGAAGTGGGATCCAACTGGTAAGATTCTTATGACATGTGCCAAAGAAGAAACCGTGAAACTCTGGAGATATGTAGGAGGATGCTGGAGGTGTTTGCATTCACTGTCCCATCCAGCTATTGTGAATAGTATTACCTGGTGCAACCTTCCAGGGAAAGGAGCCAAGTTGCAGCTGTTACTGGCTACGTATGTTAACTTTTTTGCTTTAATACTGCCTGGTTAGTGCTTAAAAGTCTCAGAGGGTAGCTGTGTTAGTCTGTAACTTTAAAATCAACTTTTAAAAATGAGTAGTCCTGTGGCAAAACCAACTTTTTCAGATGAGATCATCTTGATTGGTGAAAAAAAGGCGGCGGGGAGGACCCTCAGAATAAAAAGGAAGAGGGAGAAAAAAAATTACCTGTCAGTTGTAGCTAGTGAAGTTAATTGAGTGGGCTGGAAGAGTCCTATACTTAGCTTTGGATGTCAATGGGGTGTTGAATATAAGGAAAGCTGGTGTTCGGATGTCAAGGAAAGCTGGTGTTCTAATATGTTAACCAGTTCAAGTTTTTGTTCAAACCAAGGGAGACAGTGTCAAATTTGCATGTGAAGGTGAATTCTGCACTCTCTCTGAAGTTGGCTTGTTGAAATTCCTTTGTAGAAGAACGGTATTGCAAAGAGGTAATGACACTTAGGGCAGAATAGTTGCAAGGGAGTAGTAGCTTAACTATGTAAATATTTAATGTGAAAAAGAAGGTGAAAACCTATGGAGGATATTCCTAAATATTTTGAGCAGGAAAAAAATCATTGTCAATGTGTAGCTGTTTTTTAAAAATAAAAAGTAAATTAAAGAATATACTGGAATTTCAAATATTACAATGAAAACACATTTTTCCTTTTTCCATTCTTCTTCAAGCACTACTGAAACACTCACTGGAACAATCATTTCCTGAAACACTACTTCTCTAACTTCTTTTTAACTGTAGTAGTGCCAACAAAATATTTTTGGCAAAAATTTAAGAAAGTTAAATAAAGAAAAACGCACATTTTCATTAGTGTTACTCCTAAATAACTTCTGCCATTGGCCTTTGTTTTTAAGCAGTTTATCTGTCTTAATCACTTTGTTCTAAATGTATATCCTAACAGAATGATATACTTTTAGCACATTTGTTGATTGGTGCTATATGTTAATAACTTCACTTGGTTTTCATTTGATTTATTCTGACTTTCTTCAGAGGATGCCAGAATGGCTTGGTATGTGTTTGGAGTGTTCCCCAGGACATGCCGATGGTACTACAGTCCAGCTCAAGCAGTGCAGAAGGATGGTGGGAACAGGAAACAAATGGCAAGGTAAAGACAATACCTCAAATGTTAAGAAATCCTAATTTAGTTATATCCATGGTTTTCTCCCACCAGTATAGAAAGGGGTGGGAGCAAGATCTATAGATAGCTGTATGGGTGGAGAGGGAGAAGAGAGAGATTTGAAAACCATTTTGTTTAAAAATATTTATTTTTTTAATTTATCTGTGCTTAGGCAGGCACAGGTGTTTCCAAGAGAGGAAATTGTTCTTGCTTCCATGCTCAGGGTCAAACTGATCTCCAGTATGTGGTATTGGGAAGGAATTTCTCCCTGGTCAGATTGGCTTTTAGAGTACAGGTCACTTGCCAGGATTATCTGGGTAAACTTCCACTCTGCAGAGATGGGGTATACGGGAAGGGAGGGGGAAGAGTGTGTGTGACTGTTTGTCGGTACGTGTGTGTGAGAGCAACAGAGAGAGATGGCTGCTAGAGAAATTTTAGAAACAGCGCTCTGCCTCTTATGACAGGAATTCATCTCAGTCACTCACCATATTTCAGACTGGAGTAGTTCTGTTGTGTGTCCCTTTCCTTGACCCCTACTCTGCAGAGATGGAGCACAAAGGCAGGGGGACACCCTGACTTCAGAATTCCCTCTCCCCCTTCTGTATAGCAAGTAGGAGGGTCATGGAACCAGGTTGGCTGCAAGATGGAACAAGAAGCGGGGAGGGATAGCTGAACACACACTGCCTGCATGCTCTGCTAATCAACTGAGTAGGCCAGCTAGAAATGCTGGTGGTCCAGATCCAACCCACAGGCAGTATTTTGCCCATCCCTGTCAATTGGTTGTATCAGGTTGAGTTCTTCTATATGGCCTTTTTATGGTTCCTTATTCTTTCCTTGAGGAGCAAAGAGGATTAATAATAATAATTCTTTCCTTGATAAAATCAAAGTAGTTGTACCAAGAAAATCTGTATACTGGTTGCAAAGAAGTCTAAAACTAAAACACTTTTTTTTCCCCAAAAAAAGTCTATGTATGTAGTCCAGGATATGTCATACTGATTAAATAATTTTCAGGATGGACACAGAAAAGCAGTAGATGCCAAGTGCATTTATCAGCTGAGAGGACATATTACTCCTGTTCGGACTGTGGCCTTCAGCTCTGATGGACTGGCATTAGTGTCTGGTGGGCTTGGTGGACTCATGAACCTTTGGTCTTTACGGGTAAGGTTGTCTCTGAGTAATATCTAGGGATAAGATTGTCATGGAATCCACGGATTCTAGAATGGCAGGGGGCACCCGGAGATCCTAGCCACCATAGGTGGCAGGGACATCTGGAAGTCAGCCCTTGCAGTCTTGGACTCTTTTTCTCACTTGTTCATCCCCCGTCAGCTCTCGATCATATTATTTTTAGTAAAAGTTAGGTAGGTTAACGGCTTTTTCAAAAAAAATTTTATTCCACACAAACTATCTGAGTTTTACTAAAAATAACGGTGACTAAAATCTTAACCTTAATTATATTTCTTAAAGTTTGTTAAAATAGATATGTTTAGATCAAAAACTAAAAGGGAATTTTATGTCGTCTTAGTTTTCTTTGGTAATACCTTATTAGAGTAATCCTACAGTAATTATTAGTCAATTATTAAAGTAAGCCTAGTCAATAATTAATACAAAATTTGGGGAAAAGATATTCGAATTCTAGCCCTGGCTCTTGCCATTGATGGATTATTTTCATGATCAAGTCATTTATGACTTTGTCAGTTTATGCTTTTGTTTCTCTTTTCTGGAAAAACAGGAATGATACCTGCAGTCTTCACAGGCTACTGAAAATATGTAATACACTTTAAAGATGTTATATCAATGATAATTTTAACTTTTAATAATCTTTTGTAAAATAAATGTGTTTCTCACTATCACATAGGATGCTATAATCATTTATTGAAATGTTTTAGACTAAGAGTGTTTGTTTATAGACCTACAGCATGATAAATTAACATTGAAATAACTAAATATATGTATGGATTAAAATATTTCTTGTTTTAGGATGGCTCTGTATTACAAAGTGTTGTGATTGGTTCTGGAGCTATTCAGACTGCAGTATGGATCCCTGATGTTGGAGTAGCTGCTTGCTCAAATAGATCAAAGGTATTATTGTTTATTAAGGTGCTGTTCTTTTGAATAAAATTTGTGAGTAGTAAGGGAAGGTTCTTATTACAAAAAGAAGCCCATTTACCCAAACATTTCTTTCTAACAAGCTGCTAGCATCTCTCTCTCCCTGTTCTGCTGAGATCATATTATCCACAGATTAAAAAAAGAGTTAAAAAACATAGTTTAAATATCAGACTTCATGTATGATAAAGGGAGGGATGAGGAAATTCATTTAAAAATATGCACCCACGTGAATGGTTTGTCATTTTGAAATTTATTCCATTTGTGAAGTGTCACTCCTCTTTATGGCAGATATATGAAATGTATTTGTCATAGAAAAAAAATATTTGTGGCCTATAATGGAAGTTGAAAACTACATTTTTCAGCTAGCTAAAACTGTTAGTTAATTTGACATTAATTTGCCAACAAATTCTTTTCAGGACTATGACACCATTATCCCTTTTGATCTTTAGCCCAGTAGTTAGAACACTCACCTAGGATGTGGGAAACCTGAAATAAATTCCCTCCTCTGGTTCACGTGGATTTGAACTTGGTCCTCCCACACGGCAGGGGAGTGCCCTACCAACTGGTCTATGAAATATTATGGTGTGGGGCTGTATTTATGGTGGGAGCCTGGAGGGAGGGGAGACAGACTTCTCAAGCTGCCCCTGCCCTAGTAGCTCATGTTGACTGGTTTCAACCAACAGCAGCTGCCTATTTGCAGGACAGGCAACATGTGAAGTGCCCCTCAACCCCTGGGCTCACAGCATTCAGTTTAGAGCAATAAACGTGACTCCTGCAGCTCCCCTGAGCATGTACAGGGGCTGGAAGGCAGGGACCCTGGCTAAGGAACCTGCTGGGTTACCGGCTGGGAGCCGGTTAGGGTCTCCCAGCCAGAGCCTATGTCTGGCACCAAAGCCCTTCCTTTCTTCCCTGAAACCTCTGCCCCCCTTCTGCCCTCCTACCCCATGTAACTCAAACCTTCTACTCCCCTGCTCCAGCCCCCATACACCTTCCCAGACACTGAATCCCGTCCTACACTTGTCCTCAGGTCACAACCCCTTCTCAGACCTTGCACCCCAATCAACTATGCCTGCTCACAACCCAAATCCGTGCACCCCCCCTCCTGCACTCCTGCCCCAGGTCACAACTCCCTCCCAGGTCCCACAGCCCCAGTACCTTACCCGAAGCTCCCATCTGCAACCAACCTCCATCCCAGACCCCCGCACCATTAATATAATGGAAGAGTACAGCCCTCAGCCACTTATCAAATTCTTAGAGTGGCGCCCATCAAAAATAATTGCCCTCCCCTGTGTTAATGACTTAAAGTAAGAAAGAAAGATTCTTTTAACAGAATTTGTTTGAGTGTTGCAGATATCTATAACTCTGATTTTAATGATTTTTTAAAAAATCCCGTGTTTCTAATTAATACATGGTAAACTGTATTGCATTAAGGCCAGATCTTTGCTATCTGGTAGAATTCTGACTCTTCTAAGTCAGAAGCAGCAAGTACCAGGTGTAATGTTAGCTGTTTTGTAGCATGAAACCTTATTCACAAGATCTTTGAAACACACATCTGTCTGTTAGAAAGGATGCCTGGGGGGGTGTGGAATCTCCCATCACTGGAGATATTTAAGAGCAGGTTAGACAGACACCTGTCAGGTATGATCAAGACCACAGGTTCCCAAACTGGGGGGCACGAAGAAATTCCAGGGGAGGCACGAGGCATCCTGGGCAGACTTAAAAATAGCCATCTTTAAAGGGTAATGCCTGCTCTGCTCTTAAAAGGGTATCCCCTTTTTTTCTTTCCTCTTTTAACAAGTTTTGCTGCTATTTTGGGGGGGGCGGCACATGAGGGTTTCTCAAAAATCAAAAAGGGGGCGTGATGCCAAAAAGTTTGGGAACCACTGATCTAGACGGTGCTTGGTCCTGCCGTGTAGTCAGGGGACTAGACTCAACCTCTCGAGGTCTCTTCCAGTTTTAGTGTTCTGTGATGATACAAGTACTCCAAGGTCTCAGAGGGGGTATCTGTGTTAGTCTAGAACTAAAAAAACACCACAATGGTCCTGTAGCACCTTAGTCTAACAAAAGTATATAAATAGTATCATGAGAATTCATGGGCACAACCCACTTCTTCAGCCAAGTGTAGTGTTGATTTTCTTATTAAATAATCATAAGCATTCCTCCTTGTTAATTATCCCTTGTTTTAATATTTCCTTCCACACCTATGGGCTATTTAAAATATATATTTGTATCTACAGTTTTTGTTTGTACTGGTGGGTGCACATTCACATACTACCTCAATATTGCTGTTGCACATAGGAAATTTCAACCCACCCAACAATAGAAAACCGTAAAAGGGACACTGCTCCCAGCCTCCTCCAGCACCCTAGCCCTTGACGCCATGTCCTATCCCCAACCTACTCCTGCACCCTCCCTTGCTCCTGTACCTCCCCCCTGGCCAGACTCCCTATCCACACCCAACCTGCTCCAGCACACTCCCCCTGACCAAACACTCACCCCCAGTCCACTCCTGCACTCTCCTCCCTGGATAATCTCTGCACCCTTCCTTGCTCCTGCTCCCTCCCCTCTGGCCAGACACCCTACTCCCAACCTGCTCCTGCACCCTACCTCCCAGCCAGACCTTGCACGCTCACCTCCTCCTGCCCCCCACCTTCCACCCAGATCTTGCACCCCTATCCAACTCACTAACAGCACTGTCCTGCACACTGAACCCCTCATTTTTGGCCTGACCCCACAGCCTGGGGGGGGGGGCCACAAAATCCCCTAACCCTGGAATCACAGAAGAGTTATTCTGGCCTGAGGCCCTGAACCTCAGTCCTCCTCCCCTTTCCAGTGTTTCAGTTGGGAGCCACATCAGTGAGGCTTGGGGGGTTTGGAATGGTTTGCTTCTCACTTGTTTGGACTCCGACTGACTTTTTTGTGATCCCCGACCCAAAAAAGGCCCCATCCCTCTCATTAATAAAGACAACATTGAAACCTTTTGTGTTGGATATAATATTTTCGAATAGTTTCGAAAGAACCCTGTAAGCCTCATTTTTTGAGGAATAAGGATTCTTTCGAAAAAAGACAGGGGGGGGGGAGATTTGCGCGAAAACCCCTGTCTAGACTGCTTTTTTTCCCCGAAAAAAACTCTTTTGATAAAGGGATTAGAAGAAGATATACAAATTCATGCCTGATTTGCATATCTTCTTTTGGAAGCTGCAGGTAGTCTAAACGTGCCCCCAGTTTCTCATGAGCACCAGATCTGACAGAGCCATCTTTCCCCCACTCCCACTCTCCAGAGGCAGCAGAGCGGCGGGTGAGGGGGGCAAGTGGGAGCTTTCAAGCCAGCTTCCCCCGTGTTTCAACTCTCACGGAGTCACTTTCCCCCCTGCGCTGCTGCTCTGAGAGAGGCAGCAGCGTGGAGGGGAGGGCAAGCAGGAACTGGTCTGCACAGGGAGCCAGTCCCACAGGGCCTCCTCCCCCCCACTCCTTACTGCTTCCCACAGAGGCAATGGGGGCAGGACCCAGTGCTCGGAGGGAGCCAGCTCCCCACGAGCACCAGCTTTGCAGAGCCACCTCCCCTGTCTTGGATGCTGCGTGGCAGCAGCCCTTGTTCATAGTGGGCCTGGGCTCACTGCAGAGAGAGGCTGCTCCATGGGATACCGATGCAGCCTCTGTCCATCGGGGGGCCTGGCTCACTGCAGATAGAAGCTGCTCCATGAGATGCCTGTCAGACCAGCTCCTGCCTTCCACC